ATTCCCAGTCAGGACACATGCCTGGGTTTCAGGCTCAATCCCCGGTGGGAGGCATGTAGGAGGCAGCTGATAGATGTCCCTTCCTCTCTCTCTAAAAAAAAAAAAAAAAAATCAACATACTTAAAAGCAGTTGATCGATGTTTCTCATCGATGCTTCTGACTCTCTATCCCTCTCCCTTCCTCTCTGTAAAAAATCAATAAAATATATTTTTAAAAAAATAAATAAATAAAAAATAAAATAAGCAAATCTAGACATGAAAAGTACATTAGCGGTTGCCAAGGATTGGAAGGATTGGGGATAAGGGGGAGTGACTGTTAATGGATACAGGGTTTCTTTTGGGGGGCAATGAAAATGTTTTAAAATTTGTTGTGTAATAGTTGCTTCCTTTTGTGAATATACTAAAAACCAGTGAACTGTGTAGAGTGGGCAAAAGTAGGTTTACAGTTTTTCATATGGAAAATAATACAACCCTTAAGAAATAATAATACAAAATAAGCTCTGTTTCTTGTACTAACAATGGTAAACCTCCTTTTGCTCCATCCTGTTCTTTAAGTGGGTGAACAGTATTGTATGTGAACGACAGCTCAACAAACATGTTATAACTTCGAGGGCAAGAAATTGAGAGCTTCTCTTCTAATGATATCTATTTTCTTTTATTTTTTTAATTTTTATTTATTGATTTGAGGGGGGGGGAGGGAGAGGGGGAACGGAGGGAGGGAGAGAGGGAAAGGGAGAGAAAGAAATATCAATTTATTGTTCCACTTATTTATGGTTGCTTCTTGTATGTACCCTGACTGGGGATCAAACCCACAACCTTGGTATATCGGGGACTGCCAGGAGCCCGTCCATCCTTGCTGCTTGACACAGTCGCTGCAGGAAAGAAACATCTGCACAGCATATGTTTCAAGGGACCTGGCGTATATAGCATATTGTTCTTAATATGTTTGCTCTCTTTAGCGCCATGTGTTTTAACCAAGGTCACCTCTCCGAGAAAGGTTGTTTCCCCAGGTGGGGATCTTTCCCTGAGGTTAGGGAGGGGATACAACCCCTTAATTAAGTGCCAGGAGGGTAGTTAAGCTACATAATCTTTACTCCCTGGAATGGAGATAAGAAACGCCCTAACCTTTGTAATAGAAATTGACAGGATTAAAATCGGCTGGTATAAATATGGATGTAACAAGACAATAAACATCAGATCCTGATCAGTTCCTAACCAGAACTCCGACCAGAACTTTGGCTGGAGATCCTGGCTAGAGGTCCTGACTAGGCTGCTGATCAACTGAAGGCTGTCTTCGTGTCATTCCTTCTTCGCCGACTCCGTCCACACCTTTGGGGACCCCTGGACCCGCTGGGATTGGACCCCAGCAGGGGACAATGTTCTAACCAACTGAGCTATCTGGCCAGGGCCAATGATATCTATTTTCAATAGTCAGAAGCAAGACTGACTGCTAAAGAATGTAGGGAAAGGTGACAGGTCCAAAATTTGTCAAGCCTGGGAGTGCAAGGGATCCTCACCAGGTATTTATAGTTTCTAGAGTACAGATGTCATTTACCTATCTGGGGTCATTTTTGCAGTAAGCAATGCTGCCCAGAAACAGGCTAACCTTCTTAACCGTATCTGATTTCCAGAGCAGCAAGGAAAAAGGTTTTGTTAACCCTTTACCCAGGTGGTATAATATTAAACTATAGTAAAGAAACAAGTAACAACAAACAAGTAACTTTGGCAGCCTGACATCAACATACATTATAAAAAATATTACCTTGGACAATAAAAACTGCAAAACATCAGCTTTTGGGATCCAAGATACTTTTTTTGAGACTTTCCCTTTTTCAGCTATTTCAGCCAATTCCTAGTAATTTACCCATCATTTAGAACTCTTATTAACCTAATCAAATAAATGTTAGGACAATCCTTAACCTATAATGTGCCTTGACATAAACCTCTAAGAAATAGAACCTTGGGAATAACTCACATTCACTTCTCTTTATTTAATGGAGTAATTTTAAAATGCATTAATTTTTAGAGAGAGAGAAAGTAGAGGGGGAGAGAGAGAGAGAGAGAGGGAGGGAGCGAGGGAGAGAAAATGACATTGAGACATCGATTTGAAGTTCCACTTATTTATGCATTCACTAGAGGCCCAGTGCACGAATTCGTCGTCCCCCCCCCCCCCCCCGACCCAGTAGCCTGTGGGAATCTGGCCCCACCTCACACCCCAAGCCTCACAGCCCCACAGCCCCACCTGGCACCCGGCCATGGCCTGGCACCGCCCCCTCACCTATTCAACCATCACGCCTGGGGGGTGGAGCGATAGATCAGGGCCCCCCCCATCGGGCTCCCTCAGGGCTTGGGAGCCAGGCAGCAGCCCTTCCCCCCACCACTGGTCACCATCTGCAGGGCAATCGGCAGGGCGCTCGCACCCACCTTGGCCTGGCACCACCTGCTCACCTGCTCCACCATCCCACCGCGGTCCTGCTGGGGCCCATCACGCCGGCAGTGCTGCCACTGCCTGCCATGTTCTGCGCCACTCCCTGGTGGTCAGCGCATGTCATAGCGAGCGGTCAAACTCCCGGTCAGACAATTTGCATATTACACTTTTATTATATAGGATTGGTTGCTTCTTGTATGTGCCCTGACCAGGAATCGAACCCACAACCTTGGGGTATCGGGACAAGCTCTAACCAACTGAGCAACCTGGCCCAGGCCTCACATTCACTTCTAATCACCTTAACCACATTCTTAATAGGATTAAGATGAGGTGACTTTCTAGGTTATTCTATTCTTGGAAATGTCCTTGGCAAAAACCAACATTTTAACTTTCATGGTCAACAAAAGGAAAATTATGTTAAAAAAAAAAATCTAGCTCTCTCGGGTCCTCATTTCCAAGATGATCAAGAAAAGAAGGAATAATGGCCGTGCCAAAAAAGGCCGAGGCCATGTGCAGCTATTCCTTGCACCAACTGCCTGGTGTGTGCCCAAGGACAAGGCCATTAAGAAGTCTGTCATCTGAAACATAGTAGAGGCCGCAGCCGTTAGGGACATTCGACGCCTATGTGCTTCCCAAGCTGTATGTGAAACTAAATTACTTGTGTGAGCTATGCCATTCACAGCAAGGTAGCCAGGAATTGTTCTCGTGAAGCCCGGAAGGACCGAACACCCGCCACCCCGATTTAGACCTGTGGGTGCTGCCCCACGACCTCCACCAAAAGCCCATGTAAGGAGCTAAGTCTTTAAGGAGTGGAAAGTTCTCTGGGGGAAAAAATAAATGGAAATTGTACTTCAAAAAAACAAAATCTACACTCCAATATTAAAGATACCTGGATGCTCATACTAAATTTCCTTCCCAATAAATGGATGTAATGCTTAGCATCCATCCATTATTCCTTTCATAATCTAAATTAGACAAAAAAACAAAAACAAAAAAAAACAACCACCACCAACTATTTGTATTAACAGGTACTTAGAAAAATCAGTTATCCAATTTATACAAACATACAAGTACATTTAGAACTTTACATATTTTAAATGCTTAAATTATTCTAAACCACACCAAAAAAAAAAAGCAAAGACAAGAAAAGTGTACTAGCCTAGAATATAAGGAAGCATATCATCACTTCAAGCCTGGAAAGTAATTTAGACCGTCATTAACTATGAAGCCACCGTAACACTACCTCTGGCTGGTCTCAACTGGTCCCCATGCCTCTAACATTGCTCCTTCTGCCCCATCCTCCACACCACTCCACCTTAAATTAAGTCTTCAGAACTCTCACTGCCCACCTACAACATAAAATCCTAGCATCTCACGCGGCACAACATAAAAAGCCTTTTATCATCTGACCCCACCTACCTGGGCCACTCTCCTCGCTCATCACTTTCTGCTCCTGCGACACCCATCTACCTCTTCTCAGGCCCTCTCCCTGGTAAATAAAGTCCTTGTTCTTCAAGGCTCGAGTGGAATTTAGCCTCTCATACACTGCCTCTTCTGATGGCTCCAGTCTTTGGTACTCCTGCCGCTATACCTCTTCAACAACTTGTTGTGGGTCATACAACGGCCAGTTCTTTACCTTGAATTGTAATTACTTATGCCTTGCGCTCCACTAGAGTGAGCTCTGGGAAGGCAGGGATACTGCCTTTTCATCTATGTACTCCGGGTGTCCACAACCCTGGCTGACACGCCAGCACTCAAGAAATCCCCACCTAATGAATCTTTTGTCCGGAACATCCAATTTGCATGTGGCAACAGCAAAAGGAGAAATCCACACCTCCTTACTCCACCCCCACCTCCCCCGATGCTCTTCCCACCATCACAATGGAGTCAGGGAGGAAAGAGATCCGCATAAAACGTACAGAACACCTAGCCCACACGGGGCGAGAAGTTTGTGGCTTTCCGGGGAGATGATGCTGGAGAGATGGGCCGAGTTACAGAGGGCACTGGATGCTGAGCTGAGGCACAAACTGGCATGACTAGCCCACGGGCACAGCTAATACGTTGAGGAGCGGACACTTTCACGCAGGTAACCGGGCTCTAGACAAAGTACCGGGTCCTGACCACTTGGCAACACTGCTCCCAACAGTCCTTCCCAGGCTCCGGCGGTACAAGCCGAGTGGGAGCAAAACGGTGTTGACATAAAATGGTCTCCCAAACCCACCTCTAATCTCACTTCTGAACCCGTGTTTATAGAGACTTGGCGTTGCTTACGATGAGTCACAGGACCCACGTGGGGGCGGAGGGCACAGACACACACGAATGCTGTGAAACCGAACCATTAAAACGCTCCCTACGTGTTCGTTGTAAGTTCGGCTTTGGGGCGGCTGCAGAGGAACAGACTCGGGGCGGGGGCGCCCCACCCGGCCAGGCGGGGGCCGGAGAAAAGTGCAATTTCGCACGGGGCACCCACATCCCCAACCCCGGGCCCTCCTCGCCCGAGCCCGCGGGCCGCCCACTGCCTGAGCAGAGCCCCCTCCGCAGGGTCCCTGCGGCCCGGGCCGTCGAGTCCTCACCTGCCGGCCCGATGTACTTGATCACCCCCTGCGTCTTGAACACCTCCCGGGCGGCCAGCAGCGCATCCTCCCGGTGCGCCGTGTAGAAGTCGCCCCGGTCGAAGAGGCGCACCGTGGTGCTCGGCTTCTCCGGCATGCCCTGGAAGAAGCGCACGAACGCATACTCGGCCACGCTCTCCAGCTGCAGCGTCTCCCTCGGCTGCACCGCCATTGCCGAACCTCTCCACAGCCCCGCGGAGGAACTGCGCGACCCCGCACCCACCAAGCCGTTTCCCGCCTCCCCTCCCTCGCCCCCCGGGCAGCGTCCGGCCTCTGCAGCCCGACCAATCAGCATCCGGCGCTGCGTTTCGGGTGGGTGGGAGTCCGCTGCCGCAGCCAATCACAAACGGACGCGGCCCAGCTTCCCGCGCGCGCAGGTGACTGCCTACTGCGCCTGCGTGAGCCTAGGTCGTGTGCGGACAGGGCAGGCGCTCATCCAGAAGATAATGTTTTCTTCCCGGTTTTTTCGACTCAAGGGGCTGGGGTCCCGGTGGATGGACAGCAGCCAGGGAGAGCGATTAGGTGGGACGTACTGGCAGGTTTTGCGTTTTTTTACGTCCCCGGAAGCATGGAAGTGGAATCAGAAAGAAACTTGAAAACAAGGAAAAACTGGTCTTCTCCATTCCCAGTAGTTTTTTAAACTTGCTCCCTTCTCCCCCAACTGCCTCCCTTTTCCTTTTTAAGTAAACTGCCAACATCAAGATTACAAATCTAAAGCCCTGGCCAGATAGGTAGCTCAGTAGTTTAGAGCGTCCTCCCCATACGCCAAGGTTGAGGGTTTGACCCCCAGGGTCCCGGCACCTACAAGAAGCAACCAATGAATGCATAACTTAAGTGGAACAATAAAAATGGATGTTTCTTCCTCCCTTACTTTCTCTAAAATCAATAAATAATAAGATTACAGGTTTATTCTCCACGACCTCCTTATTGCTTCATACTAGCCATTTAGTTCACTCCTTGGTTGATTCATTAATTTGAAAATGTTTATATACCAGACTCTTCTAGGATCTAAAGATTACTAGTAAAATAAACAGTGCCTTTGTGCTTAATTCTAGTGAATGGCTTTAGATAATACAATAAGTAAACTAAATGTTAGAGGATAAGCGTTTAGTTAAAAAAAAAAAAAAAAAACGATGGGGAAGTGGGGTTGAAATTTTTTTAAATGTTGATCAAAGACCTGAATGAGGCCCTGTCCTGCACAGTTACCTGCCTTAGAAAAGTATTACACTCTCCTATTTGGCTTCCCTTCTGCCAAGAAAGCCTAGGAAGCTGCCCCAAACCCTGATTCAGCAAATAGAATGACCAGTAGGGTGGCGGGGTTTTCAAACGAATTCCCAGGTCCCACCCACATACAATGGGTTGGAATTTCTGAATGTGGGTGGGGTCTTGGGATCTCTTAATAAGCTCCCTAGGAATGCCTGATTATCAACTCAGTTAAAAAACCATTGACCCACATGTTAAAATTAAAATACCTTTCGAGGCAGGAAGCCGACAAAATTTGCATCATTTGACTACTCAGCAATGCTACTTCCCGCCACTCTCCCTCCCCTCAGCCAAACTCTATGATCTAGGGCAGTGGTCGGCAAACTCATTAGTCAATAGAGCCAAATATCAACAGTACAACGATTGAAATGTCTTTTGAGAGCCAAATTTTTAAACTTAAACTATATAGGTAGGTACATTGTTATTAACTTAATTAGGGTACTCCTAAGGCTTAGGAAGAGCCACACTCAAGGGGCCAAAGAGCCGCATGTGGCTCGCGAGCCGCAGTTTGCCGACCACGGATCTAGGGCAATAAAATTCCCCTTCCCTCTCAACACTTGTGACTCCAACACAAACTTGTCCCTCTGCTGTCAACCATGTCAGAAGCTGCAGTTTCAGAGAGAGGAGGACTAAAAAGGGTCCTTGGAGTTGGGTATTAAGAAATATATATTTTTGCCCAGCCAGTGTTGCCCAGTGGTTGAGCGTCCACCTAGTAGTAAAAACATCAATGATGAGAATCATTGATTGGCTGCCTCCTGCACGCCCCCTACTGGGGATGGAGTCCACAACCCCAACAGGTGCCCTGACCAGGAATCGAACTGTGACCTCCTGGGTCATAGGTTGATGCTCAACCACTGGGCCATACCGGCCAGGCTATGCCCTGCTTTTAGAAAGGTAAGGGGAGGGCAGAGAACTTTTCCTGCAACTGCTGATTCTCAATTGCTTTCAGGTCAAAATAATCCTTATGCCAAAGTGGCATGTTTTGGGGTGGCATATCCTGATCCCCTTCATATCGAAAGAAGTAGGAAGAGCTAAGGTTAATGTGTTAAGAAAGGCTTTATGGAAGAAAGGGGGCTTAAGTTGGGCCTTGACTACGTAGAGGGTATAATGCAAAATAAAGTCGATTGTGACCAGATTTCAATTGTTCTGAGAATGCTAGGTATACACAGAAGCTTGAGAGTGGGAAGAGCTTGGTATTAGAGAAGCCAAAAATTATATTAATCCAGGCAAATGATGAAGTCTGGAACCAAAAATTGATAGTGGAGGGGAAAGAAGAACCAAGGGAGGCAACATACAGAGCAACCATAGCTAGATGACACCATCTGAGGCCAAGGGCTGGGATGCCACCCCTGGAACACTCCTATGGCTGCCATTGGTCTCACCCCATTGGTGCCCATGAGTGTTTTCTCAATTGTTTTCCTTCTTTTTATCTTAAGATTCCAAGTCCTACATGAGGGTCCCTGTGCCCTGGCTACTGAGAGCAGAGGGAGGATCTCTATGCTTAAACTTCTGCAAAGAAAGGCAGAGAACTGTCTCTCACTAATACCATACATAGAATTCTCCCCAAATTGAAGAGGTGATGGGGTACTGGACAGCCAAAAGGGGAAAGAGTGCCCACTATAGGGCCAGACTGTGAAAGGCCTTGTATACCCCTCTGGCAGGCGAGACTAGTAGATTCCCATGTTGTATAAAATGCTATGATCAGCTTTAGGCAAATAATTCTGGGAGCAATGTGGGGTTTGGGCTAGAGAGAGAATAGCTTGGTAGTTAAGAGACCAGTGAAAATGTGTAAGAGAAGGTACATTAGAGGAACATTATTTCTGAGGGAGAATCACAGGGCCCGATGATTAAAGGATCAGAGAAGGTAAGAGAGAAAAGAGGGACTTGATGCCTGGTGATGTCGTTAACTGATTCTGAGAACACAAGAGACACACTAGGTTTATGAAGAAAGATGGTGAGATTAAAGGCTGGTTAAGTGAAACACAGTTTAGTGTAGAGCTCAGGATGAAGAGCAGAAATGGAGATGAGATTTCTATTATCATCTAGGCCAATGGTCGGCAAACCGTGGCTCTTGAGCCACATGCAGCTCTTTGGCCCCTCGAGTGTGGCTCTTCCACAAAATACCATGTGCGGGTGCGCACGTACAGGGAATGTTGTGGAGTGAAAGAAGATTAGTGTCGAGGATTGAGAAAGGTATGTTGAGATGGTTTGGACATATAGAGAGGATGAACGAAAGGAGATAGACGAAACAAGTATACAAGACGAGTGTGGATGGGAGAGTTGGAAGGGGTCGACCTCAGCGAACGTACCTCAATCAGACTGAGGACCCTCAATCAGACTGAGGACATTTTTAGCAAAGGCCAGTTTAGGAGTACCCTAATTAAGTTAATAACAATGTACCTACCTATATAGTTTAAGTTTAAAAAATTTGGCTCTCAAAAGAAATTTCAATCGTTGTACTGTTGATATTTGGCTCTGTTGACTAATGAGTTTGCCAACCACTGATCTAGGCTAAGACAAGGGAATGGCTGAAATCCTCCAGGAAGAAAAAAGAGGAAAAATAAAAGTAAAGATAAATCCTGAGGACATCAGTATTTCAGAGTTGGGGGAAGAGGAAAACAACCAGAGGAGACTAAGGTCAATGAAGCCAGAGAAAATGTGTAAGCAACATACTGGGGTAGGACATGGAGCAGTCAACATGGTGATAAGCTGTGGAGAGATCAAATGATGAAACACTGGGGGTAAAAAGGCCACTGGCAATTAGCAGGTCAGTGTTGAACTTTGCAAGAGTAGCTTTATTAGAGATCAGACTGAAAGTAGAGGGCATTGGGTTACAGTGTGCCACTTAGCTCCAAATCCACCTTTTGCCGGCTCTGTAAAAATGGATCTGCCCTAGCTGGTTTGGCTCAGTGGATAAACCATCGGCCTGCGGACTGGGGGGTCCTAGGTTCGATTCCGGCCAAGGGCACATGCCCAGGTTGTGGGCTCGATCCCCAGTAGGGGGAGTGCAGGAGGCAGCCGATCAATGATTCTCTCTCATTGATGTTTCTATCTCTTTCTCGCCCTTCCTCTCTGAAATCAATAAAGATAAATATTTAAAAAAAAAAAATGGATCTGAAGCTTTGTCAGTAGAGGGCGCTGGAGAGACACTGCAAGAGGAGAGTGTAGTTTCCCTTGCAGCACGGTTGGCTTCCCCAGTGCCCAGCTCCTGCAGACCCAGGACTTCTCCATCATCCAGCCCTTAGAGCATGGGTGGCTTCTCCAGCACAATGCTGGTCCTCCGGCAGCTTGAGAACCTGCCCACACCCCAACTATAAAAGGTAGCTTTATAGAGTGGCTTTGGTGTCTGGTGAGACATCTCCCTATAAAGAGCTTTCCCCAGCACCCTAGAGCCCGGTTCAGCAAACCTTCTCTGGAAAGGACAGACCCCCTTGATAGGTTCTGTCACAACTACTAAACTCTACCGTTGTAGTTTGAAAAAGCCACACACCTTATGTAAACAATAAAACTTTATTTATGGACACTGAAATTTTTATTCCATCTAATTTTCACTTATCACAATATATTCTTTTCCCCCTAACCATTTAAAAATGCAAAAACCAATCCTAGCTTCTGGGCTGTATAAAAACTGGTGACGGGCCAGCCTGTAGGCTATAGTTTGATGACTCCTATTCTAGAGGGAAGATTTTCATGAAGTTTCACAAGACTGACTTTCCAGTGATGCCAGTGGCATACTGCAGCGACCTTTCTGTCTCTCCCTCAAACTCTGGGGCCCAGGGTATGTGTGGGGCTTAGGGGCAGTTAAAGGTCTCTTCCTTGGGTGCTGCCCTATCTCAGCCCTAAGGTAGTGGGGCTGCTCCCTACATCTGCTATTCCTATTGTCTTTAAAGTTCTTGTCACTTTCTACTATGTCCATTTCTATCAGTGTATAAGAAATTACCCTATTTAGCATCTTAAGACAATAAGCATTTATCTGTTTCCGTGGGTCAGGAGTCCAGGTATAGCATAACTGGGTCCTTTTCTTGGGGTCTTAAAGATTGCTGAAGATGTCAG